GAAGGAAAGAAGGAAAGAAGGAAAGAAGGAAAGAAGGAAAGAAGGAAAGAAAAGAAAATGAAGGTTAGCTGCAAAATATTTTGCCCTTAGTGCATGCACATGTGAGTGTGTGTGTGTGTGTGTGTGTGTGTGTGTGTGTGTGTGTGTGTGTGTGTGTGTGTGTGTGTGCCCAACACCCACCAGGAAGTTGTGTGGAGGACAGAGGAGAACCAGAGGAACAAAAGAGAACATCCCTTCCTACAGGTCAGAAGTTCAGGGAAGGGATAGCAAAGCAGCAGCCAGTACTGCGCATGCTCACTGTTTTCTGCCGTCAGACCCTCTGACATTCTTTGGACGCAGACAAACAGCTGGCAAATATGTCTGCCATCCTCTCTTTTCGCTCTGACGATGGTTTTCCATCCTGGGCAGAAGCTTTGTGCTTTGGTGTCATCTGAAATACATTTTTCACATTTTGCTTGTGTTTCCTGTGCTTTGTAGGCACAGTCCAGAAAATCACTGCCCTTGTCTTCCCCCATGCAGCCTCCTATTGAAATCCTAGTTTCCAGTCTTAAACAGACGTCATTTTGATCTGTTTTCAGTTGATTCTTGTAGATGGTAAGACATAGGGACCATTTTACAATGTTTTACGCATGGCTATCCAGTTCTCCAGAACCATTTGTTGAGGAGGCAGCCTTTATTCCCTCTTTATCTAATGTACTATTTGTTTGTGTGACAAGAATCAGTTGGTTGTAGAGTTATAGGTCTATTTCTGAAGTTCCTATTTAGGCCCATTGTTCTATGTGTCTTCTTTTCTGCCAGTACCATACTGTTTTATGTACTATGTCTCTGGAGTGTGTCTTGAAGACAGAAATGGGAAGGCCTTCATCGTTGTCATTCTTGCTTAAGACTACTTTCTTTCTTTTAGGGTTCTTTTGAACCTGCATTTGAACTTTAGAAATTCTTAGTACATCTATGAAAAATGTCATTGATATTTTGATGGGGATTGGAATGAATCTGTAGATTACTACGGAGAGCTAATTCTTCCCATCTATGAAATGGGAGGAGTCCCTTTCACCTTTTAGTCCTTTGTTTACTTCTTTTTTCAGTGGTCTGTCACTTCCCTGGCAGGTGTCCTCCTCTTTGGGTAATTTTTCTCTTAGGTTTGTTCCTGTTTCTGCATTTTAATTGCTTCTCACCAAATTTGTTGTTTCTGTACAGAAAAACTACTGATTTGTGTATCTTTTTACTTCACTGAATTTGTTTACCATTCTACTAGTCTCTTGGTGAAGGCTTGAGGTATTTTCTATGTGTATCATCATTTCTACAAACAGTTCATTTGGTTTCTTCTTTCCTATTTATGTGCCCTTTCTTTCTCTTGCTTTATTGTTCCGACTAAGACATTGAGCATTATAATTGCATAGAAACCATTGGGAGTGTGTATTCTTATCTCTAATCTTAGAGGCAATGCCTTAACTTCCCCCCATTCAGCATAATGTTGGCATTAAATTGCTTAGTTGCAGCTTTTACTATGTTGAGCTGTTGTGATGTGTACCTCCTTCCAAGTAAGGACTGTCAGAACCATGAATAATTTACTTTTTTTTTCTTGGTTTTTTGAGACAGGGTTTCTCTGTGTAGCTTTGTGCCTTTCCTGGAACTCACTTGGTAGCGCAGGCTGGCCTCGAACTCACAGAGATCCACCTGCCTCTGCCTCCAAAGTGCTGGGATTAAAGGTGTGTGCCACCACCGCCTGGCGAGTAATTTACTTCTTAGGAACTCCTCTTCCTCACCCCAGTCCACCTGCCTTCTTTCTGTATTTCACTAACTGGCGAACATTAACTAAAACACACACACACACACACACACACACACACACACACACACACACACACACGGGGAGACAGAGAAAAAGAGAATGATGAGAGCCCTTCTGATTATCCCCCAGCATTTCCTGAGGTAAGTGTCTTATTGTACTGGGTTAGTTTTGTGTATGGTGCTGGGATCACCTCTAAAGCACATACAGGGAGCATTTTACATATCATAAAGCAATGATTCTATGGGGGCCTTTCCTTTCTTTGTTATAACACCTTCCTTTGTTGATAACACCTGTCATCAACATATGCTATAACAAAAGTGTGTGTGTTGGGGGCAGGGTTGTTCCTCATCTACACAAATTCCAAAGTGGCTTGCACATACACAGAATCCTAGCACTCTGAAGACCAAAGCAGAAGGATTAAAAGTCCTAGGCCAGCCTGGGCTATATAGCAATATCATGTCTCTTCAGTTAATTATTTAATTAAAACTCCCAGCCATACAGCCCTGTAGCAAACAATCAAACAATCAGAATTAGTCAGAGAAAGGAAATACTGACTGCTGTGGTCTGGTCTGGTCTGGCCTCGGTTGTTCTCCTCTGGACTGGACCAGACAGGACCAGTGATTCATTCTAGGAAAGTATGGAACAATAAATTACAAGTATGTATCTTCAAATAAGATAATCATGTTTTACATTACAGATTACAATTTTAATTAAAGTTGGCATATTTCTGCTGCTGTGCTTTAAGAGATTAACTAAGTTGGACAAGCTCTCAGCTCTTTAACTACACCAAACCTGTTTGTGATTTTTGGCACTCCACACGTTAGGTGTGTTATGAAGATGACAGCGTGCCAGTCATCCAAGCTGTCAAATGCCCGCTAAAAGCCATTCTGAGCCAAACTCATTTGCACTCAGATGAACACCTTCTGAGAAGCAATCACTTAAATACTTACAGTTTCAGGTGCCACTCACAGACAGTAAAACAAATTTTGCAATGAGCCCAGAATCATTTTTTCCCAAAGTACTGCAATAATTCCACTGAATACACCAAGGCAAAGGATTATGACAGTTATTATGCTGAATCACAGTGCATCAAACATTCACAGTATAAATC